TACGTGACGACGTGAGTCCAGCAGCTTCGCTGTAGCACCAGGCCCCTCTAATCGCTCTCGCCGCCCCTGGTCTCTAGGGCGCGCCGTCGGCCCTTTCTTCGGCCTGGTTTTTTTTTTTTCCTTCTCGGGGCCTCTGGGGTGTCCAGGGAGCCTGCTCGGTGCTCTCCGCGCCGTCGAGCTCGGCCCCCAGGGGCCAGAGGGGTATCACCCCCCGCCCGCGTGCGTTTTACCGTTTCCTGTCCTGCTCGGCTCGGATCCATGGTGATCACAGCTGCACGGCGCGCCCACACGCCTGACCTCGTTCGGTCCGAGGAGATCGCACGACTGTTCTGAGGTGTCCCCGAGCGATCTCTCGTTTCGTGAGCTCGAGGGGTGAGTGTCTTCAGACTCACAGCGCAATGCCGGGTCCATCCATCCATCCTCCTCCTCCTCCTCCTCCTCCTCCTCCTCCTCCTCCTCCTCCTCCTCCTCCTCCTCCTCCCCCTCCCCTCCTCCTCCTCCCCCTCCTCCTCCTCCTCCTCCTCCTCCTCCTCCTCCTCCTCCTCCTCCTCGCTGCACTCGCCTGCCAGCTGCCTCTGCGCTCGGGGAACGACGGCCGCCCGCGTTCTGCCTCGACGGGCGGGGCAACCACGCTGCAGCGCTCCGGCCCCCGTCGGCCTTGCCAGGGGTGAGATCCACCTCGCCCATGGTGCTGGGCCTGTTGTCCACCACCACCACCATAAGTTGGAGGGGGAGGGGGCCCTCCTCCTCCTCCTCCTCCTCCTCCTCCTCCTCCTCCTCACCACCGAACACACCAACCACACACATCATCATCATCATTCAGCATCAATCATCATCATCATCATCACATCACATCATCATCATCATCATCATCATCATCATCATCATCATCTCATCATCATCCATCATCATCTCATCATCCTCATCATCAGCATCAGCATCAGCATACACATCAGCATCAGCATCAGCATCAGCATCAGAATCAGCATCATATCATCATCATCATCCATCATCAGTCATCACCATCATCATCATCATCATCATCATCATCAGCAGCAGCAGCAGCAGCAACCTCATCCTCATCCTCATCCTCATCCTCATCCTCATCCTCATCCTCATCCTCATCCTCATCCTCATCCTCATCCTCATCCTCATCCTCATCCTCATCCTCCTCTTCGTCCTCCTCCTCCTCCTCTTCCTCGTCGTCCTCCTCCTTCTCCCTCCCCCACTCCAACTTATGGTGGTGGTGGTGGAACATGATACCAAAGAAAAACCCCAATCAGGGCTATAGGGCTAGGGGGCTATAGGGCTATAGGGCTGTATAGGGCTATAGAGCTATAGGGCTATAGAGTTGTAGGGCTATAGGGCTACTTGGGCTATAGGGCACCCCTGGGCACGCCCAGGCACCTGGGCACCCGGGCACCTGGGCAACCCGGCACCCCCGGGCACCCCCGGGGCAATCGAAAATCGGCGGCCAACCTCACCCCTGGGCACCCCCGGGCACCCGGGCGTGCAGCGAAAACCGGCGGCCACGCTAACCTAACCATATGAATCCGCTAGGACTCCTACAGAGGCAACCTCTGATTGGGGAACTCCTCCTCCTCCTCCTCCTCCTCCTTTCCCCCTCCAACTTATGGTGGTGGTGGATAGCAGTCACATCACATGGGGTCGGTGTCCTCGAGCTTCGTGCCGGTCTGTATCGGCCGCGCGCTCAGCAGTCTAGTCTGCTTGGATCCGTCGCGCGATGCTGCCTAAACCTTGCTGCATCATCCGATGCGTACCTCCACCCCGCCGTCTGGTTCTCTACGGTCGGGAACTTTTGCCTAGCGTGTCGCGGCGGCGTCCCCAGCGACGCACTATCTGATGTCTTGCAAGCGGATGGCGTGTCGCTCCGCCCCGCGGGGCGGGAGGCTCGGAGAAGCTGGGGACGCCGATGCTGGGGGACCGAGAGGTGGATAGCGCGTCGCACCGAAGCGCGGTGCGCCGGAGTCGGCACCGCGACGCTCGAAGCCAAGGCTTCTGACCGTAGCCGCCCTCCAGCCTATCCCCCAGTGGTCCTCGGGCCAGAGCTCGGGCCTCCGGCGGCCGTTCTCGGGGCGCTCCGGGCACCCCTGGAGCACCATGCTGGAGAAATCAGCGGGTGCGCCCCACACGCTCGCTGGAACGAGGCGGCTCGGACCAAGCCACGTCGGAGATCGGCTGCTGCGGCCCGCCCGCGCTGGAAATGGGCTGCCTCGTGCCATCTGCGCTGGAAGCAGATACGCGGTCTGCCCTCCAACGGGCTCCCGCAGGGCCCGCGTATCCTTGGGAGTCAGGGCCCGCCCCGTCTCCGGCGGCGCCTCCCCCATCGCACGCCAGCTGGAGCCTGCTCACCTCGCCCTCCGTGCGCTCAGGCTGTCCGATGCCACCCGTGCGGCCCGGCGTAACGGGAGCCAGTGCTTGTTGGGATCGCGGCATGCCGTCACCATGCACAGAAGCGCGAGGTTGGCCACCACCCGCC